TCTACGAAGGATTCAGGGAGATATTTGTGGACTGATTCACAATCCATGCGAACCATTTAGATATTTTATGGTTTTGGTTAACTCTTCCACACGTTGGTAACACGTGTGCTTGTTGTCCACTAGAAATGCTGCATCCTCCAAATTGTTAGCTCAGGTTATCAAGCTCAAGGCTCACCATCCTGATTATCCGATCAAATCTATTCGAATAGATAATGCTGTCTAAATTTTTTTATGACTATTGCATGTCGGTTAAGGTTGAAGTTGAACATCCAGTACCCCATGTGCACACCCAGAACGGCCTGGCAAAGGCATTCATTAAGTGCTTAAAAATTATTACTCAATCATTGGTCATACGTACCAAGTTCCCGATCGCTACTTAGAGCCATGCAATATTGCACGTAGCCATGTTGGTTCGTCCGATACCTGTTGCGACCCAACCATATAGCACCTTTCAGTTGCTTACCAAATATGAACCAAACATATCGCATCTGCGCATTTTTAGTTGTGCGGTCTATATGCCGATTTCATCATCCTTACATACAAAAATGGGACCTCAGCGAAGAATATGAATCTATGTCGAATATGATTCTCCTTCGATTATTCGTTACTTAGAACCTTTGACAGGCAATCTGTTTACCGCTTGTTTCGCGGTTTGTTACTTCTATGAGACAGTCTTCTCGTCGTTAGGGTGAGATAAGAACGTCAACTTTCCTAAAGAACGACGTAAATTATCGTGGATGACTCCCACTTTGTCTCATTTAGATCCCCATACCGCTCAGTCTGAAACTGAAGTGTAGCGTATATTAGATCTCCAGAGCATAGCTCAGAACATGCCAAATGCTTTCACCAAGCTAGCGCAAGTGATAAGATTACTTTGGAGGCCCGGGATGCCAACTTTGGTGATCTACTTACATTAGTGGCTAGCCAATCATCTGCCCCTACATAAAAGCATGGCAGACCTCTTGATTCAAAGGGTTCACATCCCCGAAAGAGGAAACCCAAGGCACAGGCACCTGAAGAGCCTACCATGAATCAGACTATCGCTTACTCATTCTATCCAACTTATAAGGAAATTCTAGATTACAGAAGCGTACTTGAAGAGACAAATCCACCTCCCGAGAATCGTGAGCTTTCGGTCTATTATGATAGCTTAGATGATATGTGGTGTAGAAATGAGATGATCGTCGACAATGAATTAGCATATGCAGTAGCTAATGAGATCATATTGAACGATGACATTGAACCCTGTTCCATTGATGAATGTCGACGTAGAACTGATTGGTCAAACTGGAAACAAGCAAGTCGAACTCGATTTGCTTACGAAACGTAAGGTGTTTGGACCTGTAGCTCATACTTCTCCACATGTGAAGCCCGTTGGCTACAAATAGGTTTTCGTTCGGAAACATAATGAGAAGAACGAAATTGTGCGTTACAAAGCTCGTCTTGTTGAACAAGGCTTCTTATAACGCATCAGGATTGACTGTGACAAAACTTATTCACCCGTTATGGATGTAATTACTTTTCACTACCTTATCAATTTGGTAGTTTCTGAAAAACTAAGTATGCAGTTGATGGACATAGTAACTGCGTATCTATATGGGGCTCTTGATATGGAAATTTATATGAAAGTTCCCAAATGACTTACATTGATTGGATCAAATATTTCCAAACCCCGGAACACGCTCTCAATTCGGCTGAGGTGTTCAATTTACGGTTTGAACCAATCTGGAAGAATGTGGTATAACCGTCTGAGTGAGTATTTGACTAGTTAGGGATATGTGAACAACGAACTATGCCTTTGTGTGTTCATTAAGAAGTCATATTCCGGTTTTGCAATAGTTGAAGTATATGTCGATGACATGAACCTTATCAGAACTCGTGAAGAGCTCGTGAGAACTGTCGCGCACCTGAAGTCAGAATTTGAGATGGAAGATCTAGAAAGGACTCGATATTGTCTCGGTCTCGAGATAGAGCACTGTTCGGATGGAATCTTAGTACATCAATCGAACTACATCTAGAAGTTGTTGCTCTGCTTTAACGAGGATAAAGCGAAGCCTTCGAATACTCCTATGGTCGTTCGATCGCTAGATACATAACGAGATCCCTTCCGTCCGAATGAGGATGATGAAGAGATTTTGGAACCTGAAGTTCCTTATCTAAGTGTGATAGGCATTTTATTATACTTAGCTTAATGCACTAGACCCGACATCTCCTTCGCTAATCTTTTAGTAAGATACAGTAATGCACAAACACACAGACACTAGATTGGTGTTAAAGACATCTTCCGTTACCTTAAGGGTACTACGGATTTGGCTTGTTCTATCCCTACGGATCCTCAAGCAATGTCGCACCCCCCGCTTCTCGAGTCAATTCTCGCCTTGTTAGTTCGCAGGATACTTATCTGATCCGCATAAGGCGCATTCTTAAACAGGTTATGTCTTCACCATTGGAGGCACCGCAATCTCTTGGAGGTCAACTAAACATACCTTAGTTGCCATTTCGTATAACCATGTTGAAATTCTTGCCTTACATGAAGCAACTCGAGAATGCTTTTAGTTAATAGCAGTTGTGGGCCATAGTCGAAGCTCCTGCGATCTTGACCCCGTTGTTGATGTCGTGACGACGATCTATGAAGACAACGCAGAATGCATCGAACAGCTCAAGAAGGGTTACATCAAATGAGACAACACCGAGCACATCGCGTCGAAGTTCTTCTCACATCAACAACAAAAGCATCAGAAGATTGAAGTCACACAAATCCGTTCACAAGACAATCTGGCCGACCTCTTCACCAAATCACTATCGAATGCGATGTTTCAAAAGCTTGTTCATGGAATTGGTATGCATAAACTTTCTGAGTTGTAACATTGCTAGTTCTCTTTGGAATTATGTCAAACTCAGAGGGAGTATCCTGAAGTATACTTGCTTGATCTTAATGTACTCTTTTTCTCTACGATTAGGAGCATTTTTCCCACTGAATTTTTGCTACCTAACTAGGTTTTAACGAGGCACCCACCTTGGGTTGATCATATCCTTGATGACGTCCCGTAGATGCTTCATTTGACTTTGCATTACTTACGCATTTTTCCTTAGACTATGGGTTTTGTCTCCACTCTAGTTTTTGCCATAACTTTAGGGTTTTTTAGTGAGACTTTCTTCTTTATGCAAGTTCCTACCTTATTGAGAATAGCGTGGTTCCCAGAATCAGTGTTAACGAGTCAACTTCCTCAACTTCTACATGATGCTGAATCTACCTTGAGTATTTACACACTCAATGGGGAGTGTTGTAAACTTTCATAGTTTAAGTATGATTGTATAAATCCTAGATTAGATTTGATTCTAGTCATTCTTTCATATATAGACTTGTATTCCTTGGGGATGAATGATTTCTTCTCCCACTTATTACTATAAATAAAGGCACTACATAAGGAGAAATAACACACACATTCCCCTACAATTCTACAAACACATATCTCTCGCTTTTCTCTCCTTACCGACGGCCCTCTTCCCTTTGTCAAATAAAATAGGCTTTAGCCTGTCCCGTTGTACCCAAAAAATCCTAAGGTCATTTCCAATGGAGATGACTAAAGGTCTAAAAGCAAAAACATGGTCTAATTTGTTCAAAAATTCATCTACAACCAGTGGTTGGGTTATAATTCTATGGAGCGTACTAAGCCATTATTTGGGAAAATGTAGCCCCCTCTCTGCCATTTTCTTGGGCCGAGCTCCTCAGTTACAATAATTGATCCAAATTCACCAGTTAGATTTGAAAAAATCCAAATATAGTTTAATCAAGGTTCTAAAAGATGCTAGGCGCTAGTCGGGCAACAGGTTGGGGCCTAGCGCCTAGGCGGCTAGGTGGGGGTCTAGGCAGACTAGGCGGATTTAATTAAATCTATTATATTTCATGTAAATAAGTATCTGTTTATACTTAAAATACATATAATTTCATAATAAACTACAAAATAGAATGATATGTATATTATGAGCTATTGGAACATAATGAAAACATGGGGAATAAGCATATAATGTGTGTTCATTTAAGTATTCAACAAGTCTCTTACAAGTTATTGAAAAAAATAAAAATGTACATGAGAGTTATCTATTTTCTATCTAAGTGAGTCACAACCTAGGTGGGTGCCTATGCGAGTTTAGATGGGCTAGGGGGGTACCTGGGCGGTCTAGGCGGGCGCCTCAACAGGTTTAGGCACCCTTCCTTAATTTTCAAATGCCTAGGTATTAATCGGGACGGTGGCCAACCACCTAACGCCTAGGCAGGACCATAAACTTAAAACTAATAAATTATCAAGAGCTATGTTTAGTCCTTTCGGTTAGAGATGGTATATAAGTATGACCTGACACTATTTATTTAAAAATAATTTTTTGCAGAGCCATAATTTTAAACAGGGTTATATTTAGTTTTTTTGGTTAGAGATGGTCTAAGGAAAAGAAAAAGTGGCATGGGGCTTGTACATCGATTAGTTCAAGAGCCTTCTTCTTTGCATTTGAGGTCTAGTCTAGTGTTCGATTTCCGTAGCCGATTTTTAATTTTGTCTTCAATACCAACCCCCTCCCTCCTCCTCCAGCAGTACCACTTGCACAAAAGAAGAAAGTTTGAGTTTGGGCTTCAAACGACAAACTATTTAATTGAGGGAGCAAACAATTGCATCGTCCCAAAAACCAAGTCCAAACCTAACCCCAACTAAACCCCCATTTGAGTAGACAGGGGAAGAGCTTGCAGTTCCAAATCTAATTAAAATTTAATTGAACAATTACCCTGCAAAGACTAACATCATCTCCAAGAGAGAACTTTTTAGTAGCTTTTGTTTACAACAATGGATTCACTGGGTGATGCTTTGTCCAATATGTGACATGTTTTACACCCCAGGATAAGATGCTGGTGTACATATGACCATTTTCCAAGAAGAGTTGCATGAATGTTTTGGTTTATATCGTGCTTCTGCAATATACATGAGGGTTCCGGAGAGTCAGAAACCATCTTTAAAGCATGGAGAGGACGTGCCAATCCTCGAAACAATCTGGCTCTTAAATTCTCGAACAAAATCGATTATCCAACAAGGTTGAAGAGGCTAAGATCGAAATTTCTGTAATCTAGATTTTAATAACAAGAAAATGGATACACATATTTACATATTCAAAGGTCAAGTTTTTCCTGTAGTTACTGACAAGGAATTTAGATACAAGAATTTAAGCCTAGTCAAGTGATGTGACTGTAGAATTGTAAGTTTCAAAGATTGAGCTTACCGAAGAATTTAAGAGAAACAAAAAAACGCATGCACAGCCGGAGCACGAAAGAGACTACTAGGAAGAGGAGAGGAGAGAAAACATTCCAAAGAGTGGCAAGTATAGAGAGAGCACCACAGAGTGCAATGCAGCAGAGAGGGAGGGCACAGAGGGGGAAACCAAGGGCTGGCAATTGGACAAGGACAATGAAAGTGAGTGCCAGTGTGAAATAGTAGGATTAATGGATCGAAAAACTATTTTCGTAGCAACAGAATGAAAGCGCAAGTCAATTAAAATCCGTTTATTGTATTGAATTAAGAAAGCACCTTTGCAGACCGTGAGCACAGTTCAGGTTGTCGCACAATGTATACTTGATCACCGTGGCTATCTTCCTTATACGTATCTTGATTCCGATGCCAAGTCCATAGAGCATAAGTAGAATTCACAACCTGCATTTCGATATATAAAGGTCATGGAAGACGGTTATGAATGTGTAACTAGAAAACACTGAAGACATCACGAAAGATCGCGCTTAGATCTATTCTACTTTCATGGTTTGCACCTCAGAAGCAAGTTTCAAGCACACGTACTATTTGCATTTGCTAATCATGGTTAAACTAATAATTAAAATCAAACATTGTGTGAGATAGTTTGTTTAACTAGAGAAGTAAAAACAATGTTACTAAGTTTTACCTCAAGAATTCCATGCCCAAAGCTGCTTTCTCTAAAAGCACTCCACTCCGGCTGTTTGCTCCAACAAAAATTGCCTTTAGCAGGCCCTGAAGAAAAGTTCAAATGGCATACCCCTCCAAACTCCGGTGTGTTGTCTCCAGCTGAAGGACACTTTCCAGGGTCATCAGCGAAATCAACATCAACTTCTTCAATATTTCCACCATCTCCAACTGTTATGTAAAGAGGCCCGCACGGATCCAACGTATAGTTATATACTCTATTCATCCGTTCGTAGGCATGCACCTGCACAGCAGATAGCATATTACACATTCAACATCTACAAAGAAATTAGTTTCAATGGTGAGATCACAAGGTGTTTTCCACTTTTATCTTTATGGCCTCTTCGAATTGTCTGCCATGGTATCTTGTATCTGGCTCCAATATAACGTCATGTATAGAAAAACCTCTGTAGTTATCAATCAGATGTAACTTCTGTTATATGTATTGCTATTACAGAAGCATATTGCGATATAACATGAAATTGGCAAATTTTGCCAAATAAATATGCATACAAATGTTTACGAGACTATAGACAGAATCACTTTAAACTTACATGACCAGAAAAAACAATATCAACACCATATTGATAAAGAAGTGCTTCCATTTCTTGTCTCATGCATTCAAATTCCTGATAGTGAGAAGAATAGCTGTTATACCAAGGAGGGTGCCATGCTGCTACGAGCCAGGGAGTCACTGTACGGTCTACTCGATGTAGATCATCTTTAAGCCAAGCATATTGAGCACCTAGAATGAACATAGATAGGACATAACAAACAATTAAAAACCAACAGTACCAAAAAAGTACACCGGTGCTTACGCTTTCATAATTCAGCATTGCAGAGCCAAACCAGAATGTTTTAAATTTATCATTTGTAATTATTAGTAGCGAATTTATAAGTAAGAAGCGTTATGGCATCAATTACCAGTAGCATTGTAGTCAATATATGCTCCCAACATGATAAAATGTACTCCTCCAGCATCAAAAGAATAGTAGAAGTTACTTTTAGAGCCGGCTTCCTCTGATGGCACTGCAAATCTTGTCAAATAGGATTCGAAAGTGATTCCAGAAACTTGGGGCTCAATCTCATGGTTGCCCTCAATAACCATCATAGGAACTCTCGAGGTTAAAGGCTCCATGAACCTGAGTTTCCACTTCAACCATGTTAATCAAAACCAACTAATTCAGGAAAATGCAGCATCACAAACTGGTCAGAATTAAGATATCAGCATTTATTACATATTGCTTCTACTTAGCTCCAACAGATTAGCTAACTAACATTATGGATTGACATTGACAAATTTTAATTTCTGTGACAAATCTTCAACATAAACTGAAACAAATGCTAACTCATACAGTGAGGTAGGATGTAAAGGCATTCAGATACTAATTCATAAAGTTTACCTTCCCCACCCATCCCAGCGGGGTTGATATGTTTCTCTGATAGGTGCATCTGGGAATGCACATGAAAAGCATGAAGCTCCTTTCCCACCAGTCGTACGGTACTGGTTTGCATAACATAAGTCCCCAACCATTAAAATCATTGAAGGATCATTCTGGATTAAATGATCAATGGTTGTACTGGTATTGCTAGTGAGACCCAAATCTCCAACGACAGCTATTCGACGAGGATATGTGTTGTCGCCGGGCTCTGGTAAAGTTTCAAGGGCGTGCTCTTGACTCATAGCAGGGATAGAACTATCCCCACACTTGTAATAATATTTCGTACCCGGTTTAAGACCTACAGCAAAGGGGAACTCTTGATCTTAGCAGAACGGATACACTCGATCTAGTTTCTTCGCTTATCGTCTACTAGGTGTTCAATTATGTAACTAAACGACCATCCTGTGACATTCATATCAAATTTACCATTTAACAGTAGTTTAATCAAATATATCAGAATTCTTTCAGGATGAATGTTTAAATATGCCAACCCCCAAGGGATGAGAGCTTCCTCAAATTGAAACATGAAATAGAGGACTTATAGGTTTCATTAATGGGATTACAAATCCATGTCTGTAATTAGTGAATTATGCGGTACATCGAGCAACCGTCAACACCATTATCAATTGACAATAAATTTTGATTCACCCACCAATATCAGAATTTTTCTATACTCAACAATAACAAATTCACTCAATTAAGGGTTCTTTTTCTCTTTCGGGTATATGCTCGAACTGAAGGAAGAGGCTGTTCGCAGTACTATTTGGCACAGAACAAACGATTATGGATATTGTACAAACAATTAAGCTACGTCTATGATGCATGGACACGGACACGGATACGGAGATACGATACGACACGACACGGGGATACGTCAAATTTCTAAAAATGAAGACACGGCAAGGATACGGCAATTAAAAATAATATAAATAAATAAATATATCTAAATATTATAAAATAAGCATTCAAATATACTATTCAAGTTCAAATTTATTTCGATAAACTTCAAACATTTAAAAGATAATCCACTAAACAAATTAGTCTTCAAACTTGAAAAACTAAAAAGAACATCCAAACGACTTAAAAAATAAAAAGAAAGAGTCCCTCATTCTCGAGCTAGCTTTTTCATTTCTGCAAGAGCTTCATCAGTAACCTTATTGCAAGAGACACCTTATTGCAAGAGACGATCCCATTTCCAGACACTTTTAACAAATGAAACTTGACCCTAGAGTAGGATCCTCTGAAAATCTTTTGACAATAGTTGCATTGAAACACACTACCTCCTCTTCCATTTTCCACTCTTTCGAGCTTTTTGACATACTGTCATAGTGTACCATGATCATTTTCAACATTCTCAACTAGGTTGACATTAGCATTCGCATGATTATCAGGATGATTCATTTTCCTAAATTATCAACATGTAAATTGTAAGAATCAAATATATAAACAATAAGAGTCAATCCACTGTATAGACAGAGACTATTACATGAGAAATTTATATTAACTTAAGAGATTAAAAAATACATCATGAAATCCATAAATATTATAATCTAAATATCATGAAAGCACAATAGTATATTATTTACAATATACAAAATACAAAATAATATTATATACAGAAAGCAAAAGTGGGCACGAGTATTTTGTATATAATATTATTTTGTATAACAGATAAGTGATTACTGATTGCACACCATCTGACCCCATTGATTGATCTTCGAAGATCAAAATAATATATTATACAGAAAGCAAAAGTGGTTTTGGCTTTTTCAATTTTGCATAACAGATACATTGAATTAGTCAATGGCTTAAAGCAGAAATGGGGCTTTTAGCTTCGAATAAAAACAGAGCAGCATGTTTCTTTCAATTTCAGAGGGGTTCTGCAATCAGATTGAGCTTCAAAATTAACAAAGTGAAAACAAAGTCGAAGGGCTCTCACCAGGAGTTGCAGACGGAGACGATGGAGACGATGGAGCAGTTGCAGACGGAGACGATAGAGACGACGGACGGACGGAGCAATTGCAGATGAGTCTGATTTCTGAGGTCCGAAATCGTTTTGGTTTTTAGTTAAACAATCGTTTCAGTTATCTAATTCGAATCAATCACGATTCTGTGCGGATCTATTGGATTTTTTTTCTGATTATCCTCTGATTTTGCTTGAAACGTATCCGAAAAATATGATACGCGTATCTCGACAATATGATACGCGTATCTTGGTAATAAAGAACGTATCCCTTCGTTCCGATACGTATCGGGCGCGTATCTACACGTATTTTGTACGTATCCGTATCCCTGCGTGTCAGATACGGGATACGTTGAGTTTTCCCCGTGTCCATGCATCGTAGAGCTACGTGTACTAAAATCAGAACTTGTCCTCCAAGCAAACGATTGGATCAAATTAAGAATAACACTAGCAATTCCGCTGAAACGGATTGCCATTTTCTGATGCAAAACATTATGTGCATTATAGTAACAAACAATCAACAAGTCATTACAACTAAAAGAATCAAAATTGATTTCCATACCATCAATCCTGACATGATGAATGATGGCAGAGGTATAATTCAAGAGGCCAGCAAAAGGGTACAATTGACTATAAACAACTGAAACCCCTTTCTTCACACTCGTATACTTGCCACTTTCTTCCCCATACCTCACCTCACTCCCAACTGTTGAAGGATCAAGTGGTCTCACAGTTTTACCAATCTGGGCATCCCCTGACCAAACAAAAACCACCCCAGTTCATCAATTCCATTCAACTTTCATCCCGAAAAGTGTAAAAAAAAATTGAAAAAAAATCAACAAAACAACACAAAGATTGAGAATTTGAATTTTGTACCAGTAACCCAAGAAACCCACATTGCAGTGGGTGAAGAAATAGCAAGGGCAATCTGTTCTGGGAAATTTGATGTCACGTTCTTCTTGAGCCTGGGATGGTCCATTGGCAAGTCATCACTGCCTCTGCGAAGCGATGGATCGAAGCGCCGAGTTGCAGGCACGAACGGGCCTTCTAGAGTGGTGGGAATGGGAGACTGAGTCAGTGCCACCGCCATTTCTGTTACAGTCAAGAAAATGATCAGAGTGACCCATGGTATGCAGTTCGGCATGGCATTGAAGATGGAGGTTGAAAATTCTAGCTGGGGATGATGAGGAATGTGAGTAAGTTTGATCATATCGTGTTGGGTTCGTTTGTTGAGTGACTTGAGCTGCGAATCGATTCGCATATTCTCGTGGGAATATGCTGTTTCTTACTTTGTTCATAAAAAGTAATAAATAAATAAATAAGGGCAAAATATCCCCATCCTGCCTCAACCTCCCACCCAATCTGTTTTGAGCTGATTAATTGGTATGAACTTGATGATTGTCTTAACCACGTGTTGTTAAAGCAATTAAATAGTTTATTAGTTTTATTTTAAGTGATTGTAACTGCCACTTTTTGACAAAATTACAAAAATAAAAATATAAAATAAAATACAATACAAAAATTGTAATTGCCACTTTATAAAGGCCAATGCGGTGATCCGTTGGGCAACAGTCATAATATCAATAAAATACAATATTACAAAAATACATCTCTTTCTATCTTCTCGTTCCTTCAGCCATACTCTATTGTTGCTAGTGCTACTTGTAGGTCGAGATAGGGTCTGGAAGTTGATCATATCATTAGTATAAGCCTCTTTTCTGGTGTCCCACTTGTATGCCCCGCCAACCCAAAACCTCCCGCAACGTTGCCATAGACGTTTGTTCAGCCATACTCCATTTCTGCCACTCTGTCTTCTCCCTCTCACGACATTCATACTACGCTTGCAGTCAAATTTGAATAATTCCGTCGTGAGCTCTCTTTACATGGTGGCGATGGTGCTTCCTCTTTAGATCCAGTGTCTCCACCACCAGATCTCGGTGCTCCACCATCAATACTGACTGATGACGTTGATTTTCGCAACATCACAACTCACGAGAGCATTTTGATGGTAGAGGCTATACTCCCAGGCCTTAGGGGCATCAAAGCATTGATTTTTTCGGATTCATTGATGGTCATGGTTTCTTAGCTTGGATCTATAAAGCCGAGTAGTATTTCACCTTCTAAAATGTGCCTAAAGCTTATAAATTGATCACTGTCTCCTTTCATTTTAAGAATAAGGCACTGCAAGGGTTTCGTTGGAAAGATTGCTTGAACACCACACCGACTTAGGGAGATTTCACAAAGGCTATTTGTCAGGAATGGGGTCATCAGAATTTGTAGATGGCACATAGGCCTTGTTTAAACTCCAGCAAATAGGTAATCTCAAAGATTATATCACTGAGTTTCGTAGATTGGCTAATCGTACAACTAATGTAAGATCTATTTAGTAGAAGAAAAAAAAAATTGCATTTTAGGGGGGTTGAAACATGAGCTGAAATTGGATGTTAAATTGTTAAAACCCTCCACTATGCACGATGCAATTGCTATTGCTTTACAAGTTGATGCCAAATTGACTGAGTTAAGACCACCAGCTCCTATGTCTTTTCCTATCCAAACATTTATGCATACTACTTGTCATTTACAAAACTTACCCCAGAATAAGTACAAATAAATAAGGATAGGGGGAATGCTAGTTCTGTAAAGAAAAATGGGTTGGGGCACAAGTGTGCACATAAGCAACTCTTAATGCCGGATGTATTGGATGATGAGATAGAATTTGAAATTACAAAGGAAGCACTGCATATTGAAAAGCCTGAGCTGAAGCACATGGACTTGAGTGAGTGCTTTTTATGACACCTCATCCACCTAAGCTTTACAAACAATGAAAGTAAATGGTGTAGTGAATGGTCAATTAGTAAGATTCTCCTAGATTCTGGTAGTACCCATGACTTTGTGGATGCTAGGCTAGCTAAGAAAATGGGGTGGCAAATTCAAAGTAGTAAACCATTTGAAGTAATGATTGTTAATGGACGGTAAGGTGAAAAGCTAGAGGTATTACAAGCAAGTGCTAATGGAAGTGGGAGACCTTTATTCTTTACCTTTGGGAGGGTGTGACATAATACTAGAGGTACAATGGTTGTTTTTAGTAAGTCTAGTGCTTTAGGACTTTCGACTCCTTATTATGGAATTTGACGTGAGAAGGAAGAAGTACAAATTGGAGAAATTGCACTTCCACAGCCCATAATGCCTCTAGGAATTTTATTGTATTCTATGAATGCTGAAAAACTTGAGGCCTCAAAACTTACATCACAACAGCTCTTTGAGTTACAAAATTCATTGGGGAATTTTGAGGAAAATTTTGTCATTCCCTCAACATTTCCACCACCTAGAGACCATGACCACAAATCCTTTTGATATTAGGTTCTAAACCACCTAGTATCAAGCCTTATCATTATAGTCCATTCCAAAAATCTGAGATTGAAAAGGCAGTACAAAAACTCTTGCACCCAAGGTTTATTAGGCTTAGCCACAGCCCCTTCTTCTTTTCAGTGTTGCTTGTGAAGCAAAAAGAAGGTACATAGAGATTATGTATAGACTACATTGAGTTAAATGCAATCACAATCAAGGACAAGTACCTAATTCCTTTGATTGATGACTTGCTAGATGAGTTGTTTGGTGCACAATATTTCTCTAAACTTAATTTGAGAGCAGGATATCACCAAATAAGAATACGCTCCTTAGACATTGAAAAGATAGCATTTATAACACATAAGGGACAATATGAGTTTCTTGTGATTTCATTTGGGTTAATGCTCTAGCAACCTTCCAAAGTTTAATGAATGACATCTTCAAGTCATTCCTTAGACAACTTGTACTAGTGTTCTTTGATGCTATCCTAGTATACAGCAAAAATTGGGAAGAACACTTGTTTCACTTGTAGTTGACATTTAAGCTATTGAGAAAGCATCATTCGTATGTTAAGAAACAAAAATGTTCTTTTTGGCAGAGTAAGGTGAAATATCTAAGACACATTGTATCCAGGAATGGTGTGGCAACTGACCCTACAAAAATACAAGTTGTAGTGGATTGGCTAGTGCCTACAAATGTAAAAGAGCTTAGGGGATGTTTAGGACTCACATGTTATTACAAAACGTTTGTGCCTAATATGGTAAGATATGTCAACCCATTTATCATTGGTAAGAGAACGATGGGTTTCAGTGGAACTAGGAAGCTCAGCAAGCTTTTCAACACCTCAAGTATGTCATGATCTTTCCATAGGTCCTAGCCTTACCTGACCTTTCCACAAGTCCTAACCTTACCTGATTTGTCCCCTCACTTTGAACTTGAGTGTGATATTTCAGGAAATGGCATTGGTGTTGCACAACAAAAGGGCAAACCAATTGCTTTTACAAGTCAAACCCTGGGTCTTAGAAACCAAGTACTCTCTACATATGAGAGAGAATTGATTGTCATAGTCCATGCCATCAAGAAGTGGCAAAACTATCTCCAAGGTTGCCATTTTGTGATAAAAATTGACCATAATAGTTAGTGTACTTGAAGTTGATTCTTATCAACTGCAGTCACTAGCCTTATATGCATATCATAAATTGCATCCAAAATTATATGGCCCATTTGAGGTTTTGGAGAGAATTTGGAATATAAATTGAAATTGCCTGATACTACAAAAATCCATCATGTTTTCATGTGAGTTGTTTGAAGAAACACTTGGCACCAAATGTAAGCCTCATGCATGTTTTACCAATGGTCATAGATGAAGGGTTGCTTCGTCAGGAACCCATAAAGTTATTGCATAAGAGAGTATAAAAAAAAAAAGACAATGTTATAGGTGACCAATTGCTCATTCAATGGAAGGGAGGTAGCTTAGAATATGCAACTTAGGAAGATTATGAGGAGTTCACTGCATAATTTCCAAATTTCAATTATTAACCTTGAGGACAAAGTTATTTCTTCAAGGGGAAGACAATGTGGTGAATTGATTAATTAGTATGAACTTGGTGATTGTATTAATCACATGTGGTTAAAGGAATTAAATAGCTTTATTACCTTTATTTTAAGTGATTGGAATTGCCACTTGGCAAGTAGTGTTTTGTGGTGTTGTATAAAGGCCAATGTGGTGACCTGTTGGGCAACATTCATAACATCAACAAAACAAAATATTACAAAAATACATCTCTCTCTACCTTCTCCTTCCTTCGGCCATACTCCATTGTTGCTAGTGCTGCTTGCAGGTTGAGATAGGGTCTGGAAACAACCTCAACAAACATTCCTCAACCACCAAAAATTAGAAAATAAGAAGTTAAAATGAAACTCCTCCAACACCCCCTTCATATCTCTTTTCTTCTAAACATATATCTTCCTCGTAAACTTGGCATTCGTGTCGTGTTTTCCGTGTTCGTGTCGTTTTCGTGTCATACCTGATATCTTAACGGGTCGTGTCGTGTAACACCCGTTAAAATAAACGGGTAAAATGACCCGACCCGATAATATTAACAGGTAATATGACCCGACCCGTTACCCGTTAAGGAAAATATATTTTAAACCAATAAATAATCAAATGAAAAACATAATACTAAATAAGTATATACATTCCATATTATCACATCCAAAACATAAAAACACAATTTTGTTTTAAGTATATTTTCGCTTACCTAAAGTCTTTAATAGTTTTTTAATTAATGTAGAAGTGTAAAAAAAATATAGAAAAAAATATATAAACACTCGTAATGACAAGCTTTATAACTTTCATGAAGAGCTTAACTTCGAAATTCGCCACTATAATCATATAATTCATAGATCAAAATTTAACCGTTGATTGTTGTTTACATTTATGCTTCATTGTTCTCATCAAATTTCGTTTTTTTAGATTTTCTTTTTTGAAAACATGATCTATTAGAGGGTGCAGGTAGATGAACGGTTTGGATCGTTGATATTATATTTAGAGTTTTACGGTTAGTGAAAATATTGCTTGATGTTTATAAAGTTTCTACAAATTATATGACATTGACTCATATTTCAGTTCATAAATATCGAAACGTGATATCATCTTCTTACATCCGCCAGATGATCATGTTTTCAAAAAATAAAATTATAAAATGAAATTCAGTAAGAAGAATAAAGCGTAAATGACAATCGACGGTTAAATAAATTTAAGGTTTCACTACTACAAAATTATCTATTGTTGGCGGTCTAAAAACTTTTTTCAACGATCCAACCGTCAAACTTATTTGTACACATTCCAAGATTGCATACGTAAAAAATCGTAAAAAACAAACATTCAGAGATTACGTAACGGAACAAAAGTTTTCGACGGTTATAAACGAAAAATCACAATTTAA